TTGCCCCTTTTTTGGGCCGTTAAATGGAGTTATTATATCGTTGGAAAAAAAAAAGATGATGTGAAAATAAAGTGAATGAAAAAGAAAATGCTTTTGTGTTTAAATGATTGGTACAATGCATATGTTCTTAGTGACATTTTGCATTTATATTAATATAATATTTAAAATTAAATAATTAAAGTTGATTTGATGTAAATGTAAAAGAGAGATGATGTGAAATGATGGTTAGTTAAAATTATGTGAGTACATGAATAGTGAGTTAAAGTTTATGTAATATGTGAGAATGTTTGAGTGATATTATTTAATTATATTGATAATATTGAAGATAAAATGATTAAATTAAAGTTGAGTTAGATTTGAAATAAAAAAAAATCAATTGGTTAAATATGATTGGATTTTTGAGATTGCAACATTCTGCGTCATTTCTTCTCTTGGTCCTTCGAGACTTCGTGTTTTATTTTAATATTCGAGATCTCTTAAGCTGTCTTATCATTATTTGATGATATTTTTCATAGTAAAAGTACGATTTTATGGTTGATTACGGGGATACAATTGATTGATGCCCTAGATTGCACGCTTAGAATTGGATAAAGATTGAGAATTTTGTTTAAATCCCTAAGTTAATTACTTTCGATTTATTTATTGTGTTGCTTGATGCATCAACATGATAGCCCAATTAATTCTTCCTAATCATTCCATTGCATATTTATGACTCTTTAAGTTTCTTCTTTCCATTTTCGGTCTCGCTTAGTTATCTTTTTATTTTATTTATGTTTTATTTATTTATTTATTTATTTTGCGATTCAGTGATTCTCTTGCCTTCGTTCAAGTTTACTTGCACTAGATTTTGTTTAACACAATCAACCAAATTGCGATTAGAGCGTTTAGAATTTTATTTTCTATTTTTGTAATTAATCGTAGCTTGTTAATTCCGAACAATTTTTCTCGATAAATACTGTTGGATTTCGACGTACGAATCAATCGCAGACGCAGCGGAATTTTAAAATTTTCTTACCAACAACGAAGATCCGACTATAGCTATTCGATATGATCCTAGATCACGTGAATGATACACGAAAACTTACAGTTATTCGTCTTGTCCTCGACTATGGTATCCACGCAATCCAGTTTCCTGATGCACGATCTAACGCCAATGAATCCCTTCCGGTGAAGAAGCTAGGAACCCTCGATTCGGAAAGCTAGAGAGTGTTTTGATCTTGATCTCTCAATCTTTAAGATGTTTTGGGATCTCTCACAGTGTTTCTCTCTTTTCATCGTTCTGACGATTCATGATTATGAAGAGATAATGAAGTATTTATAATTAGGTCAAAATCTAATTATATGGGCCTTAGGATACCCTACAGCCCAATAAGTAATTGGACCTAATCAAATTAATATTTTAATTACATATAAATCTAATTTAACTTAATTAAATATTTTCCATCAAATAGAAAATTATTTCATTACTAATTAAGTATAAATCTAATTTAACTTAATCAAGTATTTTCTATCAAATAGAAAATAATCTCATTACTCATAAATAAATATTCCAATCTAATTGAATATTTAACACTCTCGATTCACTCTTAGTCGGAAAACTGATTGCATATTGTGTGACCCTATAGGCCTTCATATATTGACATAAATCTAATTTATGATCCTTACGAAACTCATAGACTGCGTCGAAGGACGAACTCAAAATATGAAGTACATTTACATGGACAAGCAAACAAACCTTTAGTGTGAAACTCAATAGTGATACGGTCCCTTCATTCACGAACTACTCAATTAAGCTTAGGATTTGAACGTGTGTCTATCCAAACAGCTTAATCATTTTATCTCGTCTTACTGGTTGATTTTATCAATTATATTTGAACACTATTTCAAATATAATCACGTGCATTGACCAATGACTTTATCAACCCAGTATAGAGAAAACGAGTGTTCTCTCGAAACTATATTCGAGGAATGAATCCTTTCTTGGCTCAACTACCAATTCAATGTATATCATGATCCACCCAACACAAGCTCGTGTCTACCCATAAGGGCGTAAGCGTTGGACTAGGTCTAAGTAAATCACTCTATAGATGAATTGCGTATTGACCTCAAGTCAAAGGACTATTACATCATTCCACACACCGATACTTCCATAGACACATAAACAAATGGTTTATCGGTAGGGTATGCCAATACTCTCCAAAGTATCCATGTGTCATCACGAATAACAATTATTCATAGCAGTGAGACATACTATATTCTCTAAGAATATGATGCAGACCACATGTCAATCTATCGCGTATCATTAATATCCCTTTCTTAATGATCATCGATTGAGGCGATTTTAGAGTTATACTTTATCAATTAACATCTCACTCTGCTAATGACAGTATCAACTCAAGGGAGAAATTAATTAATAAATTGCAAACAATCAAACAATTATTTAATTAATTGCAATACCATAATTATAATCCAATATAATTATTAATGTGATCATGTATATATGTCCTTAAAATGATTGTCTCTAGGACACATATACCAACAATCTCCCACTTGAACTAGAGGCAATCACCAATGTATCTAATACACATTTTTCTTAAAATGACTATTGTGCTCAACTATGCACAATGGTTTGGTGAACGAACCATTCAAGTAATGTTCAGATTGAACACGCTCTAACTTATTTTTCATCTATCAATTATCTCTAAATAAATGATAGCGCCTTTGTACATGTTTATTTTGTTGTTGGATCTTGGTTCCTTTGCCTGTGCAATCGCACCCGTTTATCATAATATGTAGATATTAGATAAATGACACTTGGAACTACCCCTAGTTCATTTAAGAACTCATGTATCCCAACAGCCTCCATAGGCTTTTAATGCAACAATGTACTCGACATTTGTGGTTGAATTCACAGTGGTTTACTGCTTGGAACTATTCCAACCCACTGTCTCATCATTGAAACGAATATAAGACTATTAAAGTATTATTCTCACCATAGAATAAAAAATATTCTTTAGTCCATCTAATGTACTAAAGATAGTCTTAGCAGTCTTCCAATATAGCTCCCCAGGATTTTATTGGAATCTATAGGTGATACTAAGTGCATAGGCCATATAGACCTCGTACATGTCATAACATGCATAATAGACTCCATCGCATAAGAAAATGTAATCTTCTTCATGCACCCAAGTTTGACATCAACTGAAAGACAATCTTTCCTTGCCAACTTGATGTCAGGTTCATTGGAGAAGCACTTTAGTACCTTGACTCTACACATGGACCGTGAAACTCTAACACTCTATTAGATCTATCTCGATAGATCATAATTTCAAGAGTATAGCAGTTTCACTCAAACCCTTCACAATGAAGGTACTTGGTAATCAATCTTTCACGGACTGCAGGTGAGGAACATCATTCCATTATCAATATGTCACATACATATATGATAAAATAATATTATTCTCATTGCGTTTACTATAAACGCATAAATCCTTCTTACTTCTCACAAATCCTTCGGGTCCAGGTGGTCAAGTGTTGTTGGTCGGTCGCGCGCCCGTGGTGGCGTTGCTTGGGCCTGCGCGCCGCGTATCGGGGTAGCGGGTGTCCGCCCGTCCCCTACGCGTGGCTGCCAGGTGATCTTCTCGGCGTCGGGCCACTTCCATGGCCGCATGCATCGTTTCAGGTCGTTCTAGTCGCACCTCAGCAGCTAGATCGAACTTTAGGCCGCTTATGAAAGCTCCAACTAATGCGGTCTTGGGCCAGCCCCGCACTCGGCATGCCAAACGCTCGAACTCCTTCAAGTACTCGTGTAGGTTGTCGGTTTGTCTTATGCGTGTGAGAGCCTCGTCATAATTGTGGTAGTCGGACCCGAAACGTGTGAGTAACTCGCGCTCGAAGTCGTTCCACCCAATGACTCGCTGTCGGCTGTGGTAGACGCTTGTGAGCCACTGCCACCATACGTTGGCTTCACCATCGAGATAGTAAGCCGCATAACGCACCTGATCATTTCCCTCGGTCTCATTAAGCTCGAAATATTGCACAGCCCGGTTGAGCCATGCATCAGGATCGGTACCGGTGAAGGTGGATAGCGTAAGTTGCGGTTTGTCGGGCTTCGGCCGATCATGGTAGTTGGACGCTTGGGACCTCCGGTCGAAGTCGTTCTCCTGCTCGAAGTCCGCGCGCCTCCGCTCGTGTCTCTCGACCTGCTCGCGCTCGCCCTGGGGTGGTGGTTGGCGCGCGAGCATGTTGCGCGCCATCTCATTAAAGCGTCGGTTCATGGTTTCCATCAGATCTTGCACCGTTGCCTTGGTGGTATCGAGCCCCTCACTCATGGTTCGGACTTGCATGTCGAGATTATCGATCTTGTCCTTCATCTCCTTGTTGGTCATGACTTTCTTCTCTTGCTTTCGCTCTTTCGCCAGAAATTTCAGACGATGATCGAGGACAAGGAGAACTAATTTAAGATGATGTAAAAAAATTACCATATGAGGTAAAAAAATAAACATGGTCACGTTGGTTAAGAGAGTAAATTAGAGCGAAAAATAGTTTAGTTTTTTTTAAAGAGAATTGGTTCAATCTTTTTTTTCTGGTACAAGAACTGGTTCAATCTTTAACTTAGAGTAGTAGTCATCTCGAATTAACCGGAACGCTATTCCACACGAAGCAGTGTTCACATATATATATATATATATTTTTAACAATAATATACTCTCAATATAACTTTCGCAATAGACAATACTTTAACAAATTGCAAGCCGTGTCCATTTAACGCAAAAGGAATGTACAAACGAATAATTCGTACATACAAGTACAATTACTTGAAGAATTAAAAGTACATATATATATACGAACACGTGAGCACACACACACACACACATATGTTTATACATATATATTAACGGGTCAAACAAAGAATAAATGTAATTATAAACTTTACTTAATACAAGATTATTAGACTTATAAATTAGAATAAGCATCATTATGTATCACATGAAAGTCCTTTAATTTTTGGTCTTCTGCGAGTTCGATTTCCGGAGTTTCTGTTCGTCTGACAGTAACTTGGCAAACCTACAACACAAAATAAGCAAATTAAGCAAAATCAATTAACTTTAAATTAATTGGATTTGTAATATAAACATAAGAAATACACACATATATATATATAGACATGGCCACAGGCAACCTGACCCGCCGAACTGGCCTAGAACCCATTAAAGACTGGTTCAGGGTGCCAGGACGGGCCGGTTCAATAGAAATTGCCTGGCCAGTTACGGGCCCAACATTTGAGGCCCGCCGAGATGATGGGCCGGACCGGACCGTGAACCGGCCGTGCATTTGGCCACGTCTATGTCTATATATGTATATTATCAACCAGTTAATTAAGGTTAAAAGAAAATAATATAGGACGAACTTTATCAAAGCTTGCTCATTTGTGCCTCCATTGGGAACAGGCTCAGTATTTCCTGTTTGAAGATTAATTCTAGAGACAGGGGCCTTCAACAAATTTTCTCCAATTTTCACAAGATCACTCAGATTCTGCTTTGTTGTGTCATCAACCGACGAGTTCGGCCCACTCAGTGAATCGTCCTGTCACTCATTAGATCATAACACGTAGTTTTTATTTTTTATCTTTATTTTTTATTTTTGAAAGAAAATAAATTTGGTCAATATAAAAGAAATTATTAGAGACCTGAATACGAAGGTAATTGTCCTGAGAACGAAGGCCCTGGAAGACAACGCACAAGAAATAGTCAACCATGTCTTTGCTGGCTTGGTTGAACACGTCGACTATGGGGACCGAGTTGTCTTGTAAAAACCATCCAAACACGCCCCATTTCCCCGCCATTTCTGCCGTGTACTTGTGCTCCTGTTTGTCGGAACCGGTGCCGAGCGACACCACCAAAAACCGGCCGAAGTCGAGCGGCTGGATCGGGAAAAAATCCGGGTCGTTCCGAGATATTTGCTTGCTCACCTCTCGTATCGCTACCAATGTCTGCCGGACCGCCGGTCCAAAATATATATATAAAGAGTTAGGGAGATTCTATGGTCCTCTTAACTATTCCGTCGAGATTTGTAACGTTAGATCAACTATTCACGACGGTTACATGATGATTTAACGTGTATAAATCCCGATGAATGATTCCGTAACGAGACTGTAGCATTTCTCACAATTATTTCAACAATTATATTTTTATTTATTTAAAACAGATATAAAATTGAGCAAGACCATAATTAATTAATTTATCTATATGGAAAATAAAATAATAATTTGTTCATAATTTAATATTATTATTACAGGGTTATTAGCAGCTACACCGCCGTCAATAAGATGAAATTCCCATGATTTTCCAGCATTGTCGGCGTTCTTGAAATGATGAGCCGGCAAGTAAGTCGGCGCCGCCGATGTGCCGATGCATATATCGGATAACTTGACGTCCGTATAATTCAAAGTCTTCATCTGCATGAATTAATAAATTAATTACCAAAATATAATTTAATTAAATAATAATCACAATTACGGCATCATTAATCTATATAAATTAAAAGTTCAGTCCCTAGCTAGTATTTTTTATTTCTAATTTAACATATATATACATATTTATATTATTTTATCAAGGTTAATAATGGATAGGACGTAAGCTACACATATAGTTCATTAAAGTCAACACTGATAAATTGTATCCACAATCTCTACACAAATGATTAGACAAAATTGTAAAACTAATTGGTTAAATTTTACATATCCAAACCGAAATCAGATCGAAACGAACCAAACTGAGCAAGTATATATATATATATATATATATATACTGATTCTATTCGGCGCGATCAAATTATATCGAACTACATCAAATTAATTAGTTCGGTTCAGTTTGTTGATTTTGACGACGTACTCAGTTTTTGCTCGCCTCAAACCGGGATCATGTGAAGGTGCATGCCAATTATATTGATACTTTTAGAAACTATATATATATATATATATATATATAATCTTTTGATTGAAATAGAAGGAGATGGTCATTGAGAACACTCACTAAGTTGTGTATATATGAGAGAGAGAGAGAGAGAGAGAGAGAGAGAGAGAGAGAGAGAGAGAGAGAGAGAGAGAGAGAGAGAGAGAGATGGACCTCATAGGAAGAGAAAATAGCTGGCTGCATATTCTTGATGTCGAATGTAGGAATAACAACATTAGTTAATGTCTGGTGAAGCTTTGTCTCCCCCAAATTTTCCTTCAATATCTTTTTCAAATACTTCCCATTGTACTTTGGCCCTAATAACATACCTAATGTCCTTCCAATAGAACCTACGATTCCCCTGCATGCATGCATGCATGCATATTTACTCAACATAGAAAAGAATTGGAACTCAAAATTCAAAAAAAGATCATTAATTTAATTTTTTGTTACCCTTTATATGGAAATATACTCGGCCCATGCTTCACGTAAAACGGGGCGATATCTTTAGCGGCGTACAACGGGCGGTTATTCGCATCGGGAGCCGCCAACATGGCCGTCACAAGCCCCCCTGTGCTCGTGCCGGCCATAACGTCAAAGTAGTCCGCCAGTCGAGCATCTTCGCCATCCAGTTTCTGATTGTTTTCATGCAGTATAATTCTAATTACTATGTTCAAATCAAATATTAATTTCTTAAATAATATATATTGCACCTATATATTTCATAATAATTAATCATGAAAAATCACAATTTATTATTATATTTTTTTTTTTTAATTTACCTGGAGTTCAGCTTCAAGAAGTTCAAGAATTTTGGCTGGGATTATGCCCCTAATCCCACCTCCATCGATGCTTAGAATAGTGATTAAGTTACCATTAGTGGGTGGTAGAGTTCTACTAATAAATGATGCCATTAGATTATAATTAAGTAAGGAGTTTATGTGGAAGCTTATCGATTTGAATTGTGATATATTATTTGGTTTGGACAAATGAAACATAACTTGGTGTATTTAAAGGAGATCTATGTATATTTAATTAGTGTGGATATATGGAAAGATTTTACGTATTCATGCCCACCACGCAACAAAATTTCAACTTAATTACAGGGTAATTAACAAGGCAAAATTTAAAAAATATACACTGTGTTAGCCATTTTCCGCAAAAATGTCTATTATATAGGGCGTCATCAAGAATGGTCCACTAAGTTGCCACTTCAATTAAAACTCGTACAAAAACCAAGATAGTGTACTAAAAGTGATTGTCATTTTTAGTACACTATGTTGACTTTTGTAATATTTTTGATTAAATGTGGCAACTTAGTATGACACTCTATATGGTAGACCTTTATCGAAAAATGACCAACATAGTGTACCAAAAATGAAATTTAGCCTAATTAACAATGTTAATTAATAACTATTTGAAATGTATTATTCTGTTTAATTATTCTTCGTTTATTTGAAATGGAAAAACGATAGTGTTGTTATTTATGAGGGCGGATGGCATGTCATTATTTATTTCAAGTCTTCATTGATTTGAAATGGAAAAATGAGACAATTTATAAGCAATAGCTTCATCAAGAAGCAATTCTGCAAATTTATTAACTTAATATAATTTCCAACATATATAATATATTCATTATTTCTCTGGATGGCGTGTCATTGGATTTGTAAGAAAGTGGGAAAAATATGTTCTGTATTATTCACAAAGACATATACATATATATAGATACATAGAAGGCCTAAACCTAACTTATTGTACAAGAAAACATTTAACATAACTAACACCCCCCTCAAACTCAAGGTGGTATAGTGGAGATCAGCTTGAGTTTGCTAAGAAGTAAACAAAAGCGACCGGGAAGGAGAGACTTCGTGAAGACATCCGCTGGTTGATCTATAGAGGAGACGGAAACAAGCTTCACAGTCCCATGTGCAACATGCTGTCGAATGAAGTGACAATCAATCTCAATATGCTTGGTACGCTCATGAAAGGTATCATTATGAGACATCTTTATAGCACTCTGACTATCACAATGTAAAGCAGTAGACACCGACTAAGGTGCACAGGATCAACAAGTAGTCGACGCAGCCATAATAACTCTGAGGTGGAATCAGCAAGGGCACGATACTCAGACTCAACACTCGATCTAGAAACCAATGTTTGCTTCTTACTGCGCCAAGAGACAAGTGAATCACCAAGAAAGAAGCAGTATCCAGTAATAGAACGACGATCAGTAGGATCTCCAGCCCAATCTGCATCAGAATAACCGCTAAGCGTCAAAGAAGAATGGGCCAAGAAGTGTAAACCATGCAATAGAGTGCCCTTCACATAGCGAAGGATGTTCAACACAGCGGAATGATGCGGAGTTCTCGGAGCAGCCATAATCTAACTCACAATATGAACAACATGAGCTATATCAGGCCGAGTGACAGTCAAGTATAACAAACTCCCAACAAGCTGGCGATATAATGTAGGATCCTCAAAAAGAGACCCATCAAGTGGAGTAAGACAAACATCATAATCAAGAGGAGTGGAAGCTGTCTGACAATCAGTGAGACCGGCCCGAGCAAGAAGATCAGAGGCATACTTGGCTTGAGACAAATATAATCCATCAGACGAATCAGAGATCTCAAGACCCAAAAAATAGCGAAGCTGGCCCAAACTCTTCATCTCAAAATGCTGACGAAGATAATCCTGCAAATCGGAAATACCGGTAATATCATTCCCCGTGATGATCATATCGTCAACATAGAGTAGCAAATAATGATCCCGGAGGAGGAGTGCCGAGGAAAAAAAGCAGAATCGTGATCACTCGTAGTGAAACCAAACTGAAACAATGCAGAACTGAACGTGGCATACCAAGCACGAGGCGCTTGTTTCAAGCCATACAAAGCTCGACGTAGAGACAAACATTCCCAGATGACAATGATCCAGGAGGAGGAGTCATGTAAACCTCCTCAGACAAGGCACCGTGTAAGAAGGCATTCTTGACATCTAACTGTAGAAGAGACCATCGACGAACAGCAGCAACTGCAAGTAAACACCGGACAGTAGTAAGACGAGCAACCGGTGCAATGGTCTCTTCATAATCTATGCCATACTCCTGGGAGTGACCCTTAGCAACCAAACGAGCTTTGTAGCGCTCAATAGATCCATCTGAATTTGTCTTGATCTTATACACCCACTTACATCCGATGGGAGTCTTGCCAGCAGGTAAATCCACAAAATCCCAAGTATGAGTCTTTTGTAAGGCCTGTAATTCCTCAGTCATAGCTTTTTGCCACAATGGATCAACATTCGCCTCACGAAAAGACCGAGGCTCATGATGAGAAAGAATGGCCGAATAACAATGATAGTCAAGTAAGTGAGAAGGGGGACGACTTACACGAGTCGACCGTCGCTGATCAATAGCTGACAAAGGTACAGAATCAGAAGAGGGCTCAGTATGAACTATCGGTTCAGGATGCACAGGTGGAGCCACTTCAGAAGACGGAGGCATGACAGACGTGTCAATGAGCTGTGAGTCAGAACCTATATCTGTATCTGGAAAAAGATCTGAAGTAATAGACATAAATAAAGGAGACGCCGAATCAAACGAAATGTGGAACTTAGACAAGGAGGAAAAGGTAGTATGCTCCCAAAAGGTAACATGACGCGAAATACGCAACCGACTAGAAATCAGATCCCAATACCAAAATCTTTTGTGTTCTACCCCATAACCCAAAAAACAACACAGACGAGCTCAGGGTTCTAATTTGGTCCGCTCATGGGACGGAAGAAGAACAAAGCAAACACAACCAAAAGGACGTAACTGAGTATAATCAGGAGACTGACCGTACAACCTCTCAAAAGGACTGACATCACTAATGACTGATGAGGGCAACCGATTGATAGCATAAACAGCAGTCAAGGCTGCCTCACCCCAAAAACGATCGGGACACTGAGCAGAAAGAAGAAGAGCTCGGACAATATCAAGAATGTGACAGTGTTTACGTTCAGCTCGTCCATTTTGTTGGGAAGTATATGGACACGAACGCTGAACTAAGGTGCCCTGATCAGAAAGAAATTTCAAAAAAAGTAGAATCTTTGTACTCAAGAGCATTATCAGTACGCAAGACCTTTATAGGACAAGAAAATTGTGTAAGAATCATGTTAGCAAATTGAACATATATGCTGGACAACTCAGAACGATTTTTGAGAAAATAGATCCAGGTAAAACGAGAAAAATCATCAACAAAAATAACAAAATACCGAAAACCACTCAGAGAAGCAACAAGAGAAGGACCCAAAATATCAGAATGTACCAAACCAAAAGGTTTATCAGCAATTGACAAACTATCAGAAAAAGAAAGAGTCGGTTGTTTCCCAAGTTTGCAATGAAGACAACTAAAAGACTCACAATGATATGAACCCAAAAGACCCTTATTATATAAAGAACGGACTTTATTCGAAGACGCATGCCCAAGACGAAGATGCCACTAGAAACTAGACTTACTATCGGTGGCAGAAGCAGAAAAAGAGTAAGAACGAGGGACATGAAGTGACTCAAGCTCAAATAACCAGCCCGTCTTGCGACCTTTCCCGAGAAGCTGTCCCGTCTGTGAATCCTGAACCTGAACACCAGAAGATGAAAATATAACATTAAGACCTTGGTCAACCAATTGACCAACAGAAATAAGATTCAAGGCCAAGTCAGGAACGCAGTATGTGTCGGAAAGATGCAAGGAAGGGGAAGAAATCAAATCAGTGTGAGTAACATTCATAAGAGTACCATTAGCAGTATGTATAGGAGGTAAAGAGGTTACGGAAGACGAGGAAGACAAAAGCTGCGGGCTAGAGGTCATGTGATTGGAACAGCCAGAATCAAAAGACCAATGTGATTTACTTCCGGTAGCAGACATAGAAGAATTGGAAAGAATAACATGTTTGAGAGTAGCCTCTATGTCTTGAAGAGTGGAAGACGAATGCTGAGGCTCAATAGTGACAACCGCTGTAACAGAAGAAGTGGCGGTAGAGGAAGATCCATGATGTCGATAGAATGAACCTCTCGAACGATGTGATTTGGCTGGACAATATGTAGCAATATGACCCCGAACATGACAAATGTGGCATACCGCCGTAGGACAAAATGGAGTAATATGACCCCGAACATGGCAAATGTGGCAGACCACCATAGAAGAATCCATATCCAAAAAATAAAGAAGCATCAGCAACAATAGGAAGACGAAAGAAAATCACGAACTGGATCACAAACCGAATAAAATAGCAGTAAATGGCCGAAATGAAAAAGTTCACCAAAACCAAATCCGAGCACACCAGGACGTAGCCAACGAAGAGAGGAGTCGACCTCTGATAAATCACGGCAATCGGAGCTGGGGGTGGCTGTCACGCTCCGTCTGAAGCTACCGACGCTGTCGCAGAAACTGGGCGAGTGTGGGCCCCACGCGCCGCCAAACGGGCTGAAAATTTGACCGACGGCTCGCCGGAGGATGCTGGAGAGTATTGTCTGGGAGGTGAGAATTGAAGACGGCCAGAGACGTGCGACAAAAGAGAAACCTATAATTGACTCTAAACCTAGTCTGATACCATGTAAGAAAGTGGGAAAAATATGTTCTCTATTATTCATAAAGACATATATATATATATATATA